CCACGGCTAAATTCACGGCACACGTCAGAACACTACTATCCAAACGGGGTTACAATCCGGCTTCATTTTCCGGGCACTCATTTCTCATAGGAGCCGCTTCATCAGCCTCTAGCACAAACACCCCGGTCCACATCATCAAGAGACTGGGTCGTTGGAAATCCTCCATATATCATACATATATACCACGACCAGAAAAAGAGCTTCGTCAAGCTTTCAGGAACTTGGTTATGTAAAAAAAAGGCAATAAAGTGTGTATTTTCTCAAACTTCTCTTTTGCCCTCTTTTATTTACAGGCCCACTCGTACGTTGGTTTCGGCACACCACAACCAACTTTACCCTTTCAGATACTATCCATTACGTATTAAATTCCGAGCACAAGTAGAAAGGCCATTAGGCCTGAATTTGTGGGAGGAGTAAGTCCCCTAATTAAACTCCCAGACCCTACTCACCTCTGCCGGCTCAGTTGATTGTCCCCACCCACCTACACCCTGTTATCATTACATTCTCCTTGGTGGGCCCTCTTTTATTTACAGGCCCACTCGTACGTTGGTTTCGGCACACCACAACCCACTTTGCCCTTTCAGATACTATCCATTACGTATTAAATTCCGAGCACAAATATATATATATATATACATATATTTATAAAGGTACAAAATATAATATATGTCAAATCCAAATATACATCGCTTGAATACAGAACTTTTTCCACTATGAATCTGATGACACAGTAAAATCCTTAGTTGGAACCCCACTTATATTTATTTAAATAGATATATTTAAACAAACAGGCAATAAAAAGCTTCTATATAACAGTCCAGCAATGTGTTTTGTACTGAAACAGTATGTGACATACTTTACAGTTTTATAGGATTCATATCACCAAACACCATCTATCAACATTTTTTCTTTTAATTCTTTATTTTAGGTTACGAATAGAGGGTTTGCAAATGTCAGAAATACAAGAAAAATTGCAGTTATAAAGAGTAACCCCAAATGTCCCTGATTGAAGTGAAAATGTATCTATCTACAGTAAAGCACTGGGTGACTATTGAAAATGTGAGTTTGCGTTCACCATTGATATTTTGTGGATGTGAGTTGCTAACATGCAGCTATACTGGATACTTACTATCAATATCTTGTCTGCCCATGCTGTTTTTCTAGTGCACTTATACGTCTGTGCATTTTTTACTAAAGTGTACTTGTATTTGTACGCTTGTAATCTATCTAAACGTAATTAACCCCTTAAAGACCGATGATGGTTCAGGATCGTCGTCGGGAACATCCCTTTGAGGACCGATGACGTTTCTGAACCGTCATAACGGTATTATTTACTTACCTGATTGCCGCCGTTTCCCCGGCGGCGATCGTGTTGCTCCCGGTGTGGAGGGACTGCAAATTAGGACCCCGCTGCAATGTGATCGCGCTAACAGAGCGGTCACATGGCCACAATAGGTGTCCAAGTATCTGCCTGCTAACAGGCAGTCTCTCTGCATGTGTAAAAAAATAAAATAAATAGTTAATGAATAAAAATATAATTTATATATGTGTGTATATTTATATTATATATAAAATGTCATACTAAGTATTAATATAAAAATATAAAAAGTATTAATATAACAAAACACTCTGAATTAAATTACACACGTATATATATATATATATATAATATATATGATAACTATATATATATATTGTATATATATATATATATGTATATATATATATATATATTATAAAATATAAATAATAAGTAAATTAAAATAAATAAAAAAGTAAAATAATAACATTTTTTAAAAATAAATTATATATATATATATATATATATATATTAATATCAAAATACACTTAGAATGAAATTATATATACATCTAAGTATATATACAGCTTACAGTGACACAGCTCACACATGGCCGGCCGGGATTATAAAAGAAACAACAACAACAACAACAAAATAGTGCGACGGGGGCAGAGCTTACTGTGCAGTGGGGCGGGGCTTACCGTGTGGTGGAGGCAAAGCTAAACTAACGGTGGGGAGGAGCTAAAAGTGCTGGGTAACTGCTGCAGGGGAAGCAGGAAGGAGTCCCTGTTTCCCCAACAACCAGTCTCCAGAAGCTGCACTTCCTCCACTCCTCCATAATGAATAGAGGTAACTATGTGTGTTTGTATGTCTGTCTGTGTGTGTGTGTGTGTGTGGCTGTCTGTCTGTGTGCTTGACTGTCTGCCTGTGTGTGGCTATGTGACTGTCTGCCTGCCTGTGTGTGCGACTGTCTGCCTGTGTGTGTGTGTGTGTGTGTATGACTGTCTGCCTGTGTGTGTGTGTGTGTGACTGTCTGACTGTGTTTGACTGCCTGTGTGTGATTGCCTGCCTGTGTGTGACTGGGCGGAGATTACCGTGCGGTGGGGCAGGGCTTACCTTGTGGCAAAGGCAGAGCTTAACTGACAGCGGGGGTGGGCTTAAAAGTGGCTGTAACTGCAGCAGGGGAATCAGAAAGGAGTCCCTGCTACCCCAAGGTCTGTCTGACTGTGTGTGACTGTCTGCCTTTGTGACTGTCTGCCTCTGTGTGTGGCTGTCTGCCTCTGTGTGTGTGGATGTCTTCCTGTGTGTATGTGTGGCTGTCTGCCTGTGTGTTTGTGTATGTGTGGCTGTTTGTGTGTGTGGCTTTCTGCCTGTGTGTGTGTGTGTGGCTGTCTGCCTGTGTGTATGTGTGGCTGTTTGCCTGTGTGTGTGTATTTCTGCCTGTGTGTGTGTGGCTGTCTGCCCGTGTGTGTGTGTGTATGTGGCTGTCTGCCTGTAATTGTGTTTGAGTGTGTTTATCTGCCTGTAAATGTGTATGTGTGTTACTGCCTATACCTGTGTGTTTCTGCCTGATCCAGTGCATGTGACCATCTGCCTGTGACTGTGTGCATGTGGTGGATTTGACGGTGTATATGTATAACTGTGTGCATCTGACTGTGGGACTGTGTGCACATAACTCTGCAAAAATATACTCCTGCATTCACACATATTCATAAATGCATATTTTTATCTGAATTAAATACCCATCACACACAGCCAATAAACCCAACACAAATATCACATACAACCAATACACGCATATCACACACAGTTAATACACCCATTACAGATATCACACACAGTCATCACACCTATCACATACGCAAACAACACAAACATTACATTATATTATAGTGAGATGTATTACAGTGGAGCTCTGGTATATAAAATGCATATTACTCTGTTTTATAGTTAGGGAACTCGGTGATACACTAATAGACACATTACTTAGAGTTGTATTGTTGTGTAGTGTATGATCTTGTCATAGAGCTCCACATTACTGGGAGTTTTATTGTTGTGGAGCTCGGTGATAAATGGAGAAGTAGCTCATTACGACACATTTTTATTCCAAAGAGGTCAAGGTAAATAAGTATAATCCAGAGCTCCAAAGCAAAACCACTCACAGTATTATGTGACATACTTAGTCTGCTCCTCTGTAATGTAGGGGAGGCAGTCTGGCACTTTTGTTGGCTGCAGACCATAAGTAGCTGTCTTCCTAGCTTGGGATACTCAGAGTGTTGCTGCAGATTACCACAGGACACTGCAAGTCCCTGAGCTTGCGAGACAGTTACGCTTGGTCTGTACCCAGTGGAGGGTCAGACCAGATTCCCAACTAGGTAACAACTGGAAAGGAGGAATGAATATTTGTTTTTAAATCATTATTAATTTAATTAATCCCCTATACAATCACTACACTCCTATACACTATACATGGATGACTGGGGGGGGAGGGGGTGCTGTGAAGATTTTTCGCACAGGGCGCCTAAAGCCTTAAAGGACCACTATAGGCACCCAGACCACTTCAGCTTAATGAAGTGGTCTGGGTGCCAGGTCCAGCTAGGGTTAACCCTTTTTTTAATAAACATAGCAGTTTCAGAGAAACTGCTATGCTTACAATATGGTTAATCCAGCCTCTAGAGCCTCTGGTGGCTGTCTCATTTTTTTTAATTTTAATTCTTTATTTTATTTGTGCACGAGATAACATAAAAGCTGACGATGCCACAACAGCATAGTACAAGCCCATTAAAGAAAGGTATTTCACATAGATGGCATTGAATTATTGGCACATTTTTGTATTTGTAAGAGGATAAACAAGCTAGGTACACACATCTAATTGTAAGTCATCAGAGTGATAAGCGGTAACATCAGTATGCATAATGTAGTGAGCATTAGAAGAGTAACTGTGATGCAACTGAATGTTGCGTATGATCTGGCATCATGACTAGTCTGGATAATGCTATACAGTTAACTGTTCTAAGATAGGCTAATCTAACTGTCAATGCTTCCGGTATTCGAGCGGCAAAACAGTCATATAACACATTTAAACAAAACTTTGCGTTAGAGGGCCTGTGTGTACAATTTTATAGTAAGTAGATAAACATGCAGGAAAATTCAAAATATGATAGCAGGAATTGGTGAGACTCATTCACATATGTGTAGATCATGCTAGACTTGCGGATGCTGATTTAATCGCATAACATGCTGGCTAGGAGTATAACAACAGGTTAGGTACGCCGTCACAGGTTATGTAGATGGATAAAAACAAGCTATTAGCAGGATTAATACCTGACTCACTGATTTGTTTGTTAGCCTGAGCGAGTTCAGTGGAGCTAGTGTCTAGTTGTACAGGCTATGCTAGGCTCTCTATTGCTGCCTGGGGTTGTGTAACATTCTGGCTGGACTCATATAACGCCTCACTTGTAATATAGCATGTTTTGGCATAGGCAGGCAACTAAGGACGCCTGAACATAAAAAAGAAAAAACAAAAATAAAGTTTAAGCACATAGTCAACAGCTTTGTTTGTCTGGGTACAGATGGATTAAGCTGTTGTTGTATGTTCTAGCGGGTGGCATGGGTAGCATGCTCGGGAACAATTGGCACTGTCGGCCAACGTCTCAGCTTTGTGTTGCCACATAGTCCCTGGGAGCAGCTGGGTAATAGATCATCCGATGCCCCGTCTGGAGGCTGTGAGTGCAGGTGTGGGGTGGATGTCAGTAAGCCCCCCCGTCCGCACTTCGGGACCCTCTGTGTTCACTTGGGCTTTTCTGTGTATTCCAGGTGGGGCACCCTTCCTGCCCTGAGACTCTGTGAGAGCCGGGACCACCATTTTACGGACCCGTCGCCGTTTTGGGGCCAGGTCCTTCCCCGGTGTGGGGCTGCGTAGGGCAGCACTTTGGCGCTTCCGTGGGTACTTTGCTCTCTTCCGCAGGTGAGTGTGGCTTGTGAGGGTCTTACTCCTTATGACTCTCATCCCAAGCGGACTGTCATTCTTGTTTTTCGTCGGCTTAGCTGTAGCTTTGCCCGGTTGGGGCCCCTCCGGCTGCGCCTTGGTCTTGCGCCGGTCTGGGTATGGAGCTCTGGCTGGCTCCCATGCTGCGGGTGTCTGGGTCCCTCCGCTGGCCCGTGGTGGCGTTGACGACTGGTGTTGATGCTCCAGACGGTCCCAGAATTGCCTGCATATGGCGTCGAACCTCGTCTGAAAGGCTATGGCCCAGTCAGTGGGTGCTTGTGCTGTGTGGGCGGCGGTGCCGTCAGCCATCTTAGTGAGTCCTTGTGTCTCCCGCCAGTCAGCCTTGCGACCTGATTCAAGTTGTGGGTGAGTGCTCACATTTTGGGAATAGACCGGGATGACCCCCGCCGGTCCATAGGGGGGGGAACGTGGACCCTGGTACAGAAGCTCAGTCGGTCGTGGTGGCAGAGGAGCGGCCGTCTCCCCTGCACTCGCCATGCTTGTAGGCCTCAGACTCCTGTCAGGCAAATGTTGCTCCAAACGGCTTGTAAGTGGTATCAATTTGTGCTGCTGGTTGTCGCCTTTTGTTTGGTGACTGTCTTGCTTCAATAAATTGTCGTTTGGGCAATGAAAGTTTACTTTAATCGTTGCCTGCAGCAGGAGCTGTTGAGGTTTGCTTCCTCTCATCTCTGCAGTCAGGCCCCGCCCCCTGGTGGCTGTCTCATTGACAGCCGCTAGAGACGCTTGCGTGCTTCTCACTGTGAAAATCACAGTGAGAAGACGCCAGCGTCCATAGGAAAGCATTGTAAACTGGCTGAATGCGTGCGTGGCTGAATGCGTGCGCGGCGCATTCAGCCGATGACGTCACTATGAAGGAGGAGAGGAGGAGGAGAGCTCCCCGCCCGGCGCTGGAGAAAGGTAAGATTTTAACCCCTTCCTCTCTCCAGAGCCCGGCGGGAGGGGGACCCTGAGGGTGGGGGCACCCTCAGGGCACTATAGTGCCAGGAAAACAAGTATGTTTTCCTGGCACTATACTGGTCCTTTAAGGCCGGCCCTGTGTCCTAATTACAGGTATATAACATAAGAAAACCCACCGCCAGACATTCTGATTCTCAACGATAGACCTGCTCAAATGGATCAAATTTCTAGATCTGTGGTTTCCAATGCATTTCCAAAATCTGTTAAAGTGAACATCCTGAAAAAACTTGCGCCATTGGTGTGTGTTGATGACTGGATTGGGTAGCTCTGCTCTGGACAGATTTGGGGGAGAAAGCAGCCTTAACAACCCTATAACTCTGAACAGTACTGACTGCCCATGGCAAACCATGATAAGTTACATGAGCAGGTCAAAACTGAGAAAAGGGTCTAACATTTGCATATAATTAATGTAATAACTGATCTTACTGTTTAGTTTGTTCTAGTGCGCAGCATAAAAACCCCATGACCTCTCCCGTATTAGGGGGACTGTGTCACTACTTTTTATTGAATTCCCAAAAAGGTCCCGGAAATTCATTTCTAATGAGAACCCTCCGATGTGCTTGAAGAAAAAATGTTTTAGTCTTTGGCATATTTCAGTGTGTGGTGCAAATTCCTGCCTTAGCATAAATATTATGACAAAAGATAATAATTGTATCAAAGCTTCCTTTACAAACTTTGCTAAATATCTCAACCCTGGTTGTATGTATAAACACACAAATCCATTTAACCCTTTTTATAGTCATGGTCGGCTTATCCTTTTGGCTCTAAAATGGTTCAGAGCAGGATTAACCATGAGGTCATAAAATGACCTCAGGAGGCTGCCTAGCTCCCACTGGTTATACAGGGACCCCCGCAACCAAACTGGTGAACCGCCCTGGGTCTTAATTTCTTCTCTGAAATGGTTGATTATATTTTATAGTTTTCGTTCAACTTTTCTCTCTCTAGTGAAGCTGTTTATTTTCTTTTTCAGAATACAGAGAGGTGTCGAGAGAAAATGGATTGTTGAATTTGAAAGGTCCATGTGATCTTTCTATGGTTGAGTAAGCGCCACTGCAAAGTAGGACAAGAAACCATTATGAATATTCATCTATGCAACCCTTTATTACAATAAATACATTACCCAAACAGGAGTGTGAATGACTAACTGCATGCATTTACTAAGCACAGGCTGGGAAGAAAGCTTTGCTCAGTGGCAACAACAAATATATAAATAGATGACAAAGTCAAATATTACACAAACACATAGATATGAGCATGCAAGCACATTCATATGTTACTTTATCTGGAAAAAAAAGGTAACAATGTTATGGCTTGCATACAAAAATATGTCCAATGTGATCAACTTGGAGTCTGCCAGCTTTGTAATTTTAACACGTCTGCTTCCAGACTGTTTTATGTTTTTACCTGCTACTTGGTTATGGTCTGAGCAGAACTCACTGGGGTTTGTATCAAACACAGGAACTCCTCACTTTAAAAAAAAAAAAATTTGTTATATGCATATTTATAATAAAATAAAAGTTACATATGCACTATTCCAAATCCCTATGCATATTTAAATAACTGGAGGTATTTAGTATCACTCCAACGACCATTTAAGTGAAAGCTCACCTGCCACGTCAAGGCAAAACCTTTTAGGTAAGTCCTACACTAACAATTCACCTTGCTGCTCTCAGCTAAAGGTAAAATCTCTGCCGAGAAAGAGATAGGTATTTTTCTAAACCCTGACACACTTATTAACCCTTAATAGGGAACACATGGGCTGGGCAGCAGCAACACTGTAACATGGCTGTGTGATACGTAAGCAAATACAAATATACAAAATTAAACTCTGCGCTCAAACTCCCACTACTCACAGGCGTGCATAGGGATTTGTGTTGAAGTCACTTTTTCTTTGTTTTTTTTTATCGTATGTATTAGGCTTAATGTGTATTATAGTACTCAAAGAGGATATCGTACTCACACTTAGGAATCCAAGTGCTTATTAGGGCCGTGGTTGGCAAAACCCAGTTTAGTATATAAAATAAAGTAGGTCCAGGCACTCAGGATTGCTGCAGGAAGACAGGTTTATGGAAACAAAAACAGCAAAGTTTTGGCCTACACCGAAGTCTTTATCAAGCTATTACCTCAGGGTCACAATACTCTATTTAAAGGGTGTCAACTGTCAACCATAACCTCAATTAACCTAATATGTGTGTTTTTATTTAATTGCTTAATTTTGCACATATTTAGTGATGTCCTGAACGGTTCGCCGAACGGTTCGCCGAAAAGTTCGCCACGGATGGCGAACATATGCGCTGTTCGGTCCGCCCCCTATGTCATCATTGAGTAAACTTTGACCCTGTACCTCACAGTCAGCAGACACATTCCAGCCAATCAGCAGCAGACCCTCCCTCCCAGATCCTCCCACCTCCTGAACAGCTCACTAAGAATGCAGCTTCACAATGAATATAAAATGGATGCTGTCCAGGAGGTGGGAGGGTCTGCTGCTGATTGGCTGGAATGTGTCTGCTGACTGTGAGGTACATGGTCAAAGTTTACTCAATGATGACATAGGGGCGGACCGAACAGCGCATATGTTCGCGGTCCGCAGTGAACCATTCGGCGAACCATTCGGGACATCACTACACATATTATGTTAAATGTGGTTATTTTGACACTGAGGTGATAGCTTGATATAGGCACCTGTATAGGCCGAAACGTTGCAGTTGATGTGTATTGCACATCCTGCTGCCCAGGAGTGGTGGGAGGTGTGGATTTCTACAATGAATTTTAGTTTCATACCACACATTTCTATATTTGAGAAATAAAGGAATAAATAAACATAATATTAATTTGAAATCCTGGGAAGTGTCAGTTCCCCTTTAAGACATGTTTGTTTGTTATAAGTAAGGTTATTGTTGCAACTTAGTTCTCCACAATTTACAATGTTTCTATTCAAAGCCATAGGTATAGGCACAAGATGTGCAACAAAGTATCTATGAACCAGAAATGTCATGTCTGGCTTATTAAAGGAAAAAGAAAGTTTATAAAAGTTACAACAAACCATACTCTACGTCTAACAATATCTTATATTTAGTAGAACTTAAATTAGCTAAAAGTTGCTATATTCAAAGTGTCACATGAGCGTACAATATGTGCAGGATTTATGACATTTCTTTTTTCAGCCTATGCGTTAGAATATTTAAAGATGATGCAGCTGTTGAAAAGAGCATTACTACAAGGTAAAGAAAGAAATATGAGAGAAAAACGAAAGGCCCCGTAAATGTATTATTAAAAGGGATGGCTACAGTTCAAGCCGATTCATCAAGAAATATTTCCACTGGCCAGGAAATAAGATGAGGCCTGCTAGGGACTGATGACGTGAATTCTCACAATTTATGGTCACTATTATGCAAACATTATTGGGTTTTTCAAGGAAATAAGCTATCTTTTCAGACACATGTTAAGTAAGAGAATATCACAACTTTTTGATTTGACAATGAGATAGAGGCCTGTGAGTGTCACTGTGATGTGGAAAGTGACACTAAACATCATACGCTCAGTTGGATTTTAAAAGACCTGGTATCAATGTGCACCTGGCTGACCTTTGGTGTGTGTGAGGTGTGCCATGACAACAGAGGTGCCAGGCATCTGTCAGCTCACATCCAGAGGTGGACAGACCCATTTGGCATTTTGTCAAGGACTGATGACCCGAAACCAGGAGGGCACCTGGTTGCTGCACCTCTGCTGGGTGCAGACCATGAGTAGCTGTGTCCAGAACTCTGTCCAATCAGAGCATTTCTGCTGGTTACCACTGCAACACTCTGACAACTGTTTCACAAGCTCTTACACTTACAGGATCAATTATCTGTACCCATCAATCTAGTATATATCCAACCATAAATATACTACACCCATAATACACACACACACACTATACCCCTATACACACACACTATACACCCACAAATATGCTACACCCATTATACACACATGTACACAATACACAATGTACACAAACACTACAACCCTATACACACTACAAGTTATAATATACACACTGCAGCCACCAGTGGTGTACATACTGCAGTCACAGGGGTCGCAGCTGTGACCAGACCCATCACTCCAGGGGGCCCCTATGACCGGGTACCCGCTGCAATCCTTTGCAGCCCCGGTCCGCGCAGCAAATTGCCGGGGCCGCCGTCCAAGGGGTCCATTTGGTGGCCCATGCTATAAGGGGCCACCCGATGGAAATGGATTTCAGGGGGCCCGATCGGTGCTGCAGCGCTTTAACAGCGCGACCGGGCCCCCTGTGATGAGATCACATGCTGGGAGGAAGTGACTGCACGTCA